TAATTAAAAGCACGCTAACAATGCCATAAATTTATCACACAATTTTACTAGCTTTCTGCCCCTAACTGCTCTCTCATCGTTAATTAAACGTGTTGCCTTTTACAGAATGGATGTTTATACATTTCCAATATAAATAAATTCGAAACCATCCTCTCTCTCTCTTTCCCTCTCTCTCCTTCTCTTCCTTTCCCTTTGATTTTTCGCCATTTATAGGCACCCCTTGGCATGGGCCCTGAGTGGCGGATACCTTGAAAGTAAATGAAGTTTTAAGATGAAAATCCAAACAAGAACGTTAAATTGCCCCCCCCTTTTTTTCACCCCGAAGAGATCTGAAGACACAAGATTGGTGGGAAGTGCGTTTAAAATCCCACCCACTTGGAAATAGAAATAATCTGGGTGGGTTGGGGACCTGGGTATCATCTCGGCCCATCCCGCCTTCCTCGGTGGTGGACATCCAGGTATAGGCTGGTAATAGTTTAATAAATCTATGAAGATTGTCGAGAAGAAACCGACTTTGGTCCTTGGAGGGGGTGGGGGGAGAAAGGAGGGGTATTTTCCAAATGAGCTCTACCTACGTTTCCTTCCCTCTGCAGTAGAGAGACGGAGGCTGCTCTCGGTGGGGGATGCTCCCCTCACTGCGCAGAACCTGGTCCCATCTCCCCGGATTATAAGAAAAGTGCACCCGCACACGGGCATGAAGATTCTATCTCACTTCGGGCCAACGATTTATCCAAGCCATTGGCATATACTCTGACTTAAAGGAGTAGGAAGAAGGCACTTGGGTTCGCTTGGACCTGGCGAGGGGTAGGTGGGCCATTCCTGCCTCCCACACACTCTGACCGTGCCCCTCCTCCCGTGTTGACCACTTAAGAACCCAAATTGAATTCTAATTAACTCCCTATTCTCCGCCATAAATTGTTCCATTCAACTTCCCCCCCCCCCCCCCCCCCCCCCCCCCAGAACACACTAAATCGCCCCTCCCCCAAGACGTCTCAATTTCCATTTTATCGATCCGGACTCCACTTTTCTTTTTTCTTGTTGCTGGAAACTCGTTCGCCTCCACCACCACCACCACCAACAACCGCCCTCGACAGCTCCCGTCCGGGTGGCTGCCCCACCTGGGTACCACAGACTCTGCGGGCCCCAGGAGAAAGAGAGGGATGCTTATTCCCTTTTCCTTTGGCTGAGACGTTTCAAACCTTTGAATGAGTGAGACAGCTGGGTGCCATCTTCTTTAAATCCCTCCAGTGAAGTTTGCTTTTTGTGACCCAAGTAGTTACTCTCACTCATATAATTTTGTGTGTGTACTCCTCCTTCTTTCCATCTCCCCCAGTAACCCTCTGCAACCCAGAATATATTTATCCACATTTCTCCCTCCCCCCCAATATTTCCATTCCCTCTATCACATTTTTCTTCCCCTCACTAATGTCTCTTTCTTAGCTGTGTCGCTTCTTCAGTCTCGCTCTGTCCTGAAGTTTGGGAGTATCTGACGATTTGTGGGCTCTTAGCAGCAAACTGCAATTACGCGGCAAACAGGATTTACTTAGCCCCAAATCTAGTCAGCGTAGGGCAGGTCCCTGCACCGGTATGGGCTCTGGCCCTTCCGCCCGGGCGGCGTCCTGCAGGGGGAACTGCGGGAACCTTCCGGCCTCCCACCTGGGCTGCCGCTTTGCCTCCTTCCGGCCCCGGGAGGTTGCGCTGGTGGTACTGTCCGCCCGGAAGGGGGAGAACGGTGGCGGGTTTCCCAGTCGAGAGTGATCGCGGGAAAATCCGCTGCCTCCGCTGGAAATCGATATTAAGCGGATGGGCCGGTGCGGGCGATGGACGTCGCGGCCGCAGCCAGTAGGTCCTGCAACGTCTCATCATTGAGCTAATCGAGTCGAAAAGTTTCTCTAAGGGCCAGACCCGGCATCAGATGGTAACACTGATTGAACAAGAGATTAGCACAATAGATCTCTAACCAAGGGGAAGCGTTGCTTTTCACGCTACGCGCCGTAATTAATGGTATGAATCAATTAATTTGACTTTTATTGTGTCGAATGAAAAAAGCGCAACAAATGGAACTGGCGGCTGGGAGTTGTTCATCCCCCACCCCTTCCCCCAGGGAGGTTCCAATGAGACACCGGGGAATGGACGGACCAGGCCAGGTCTCCGCCGAGGGAGAGCGAGGCAGCGACCGGCAGCACCGAGGGAGTCCTGAGACCCAGCTCCGGAGGGCAGCAGAATCGAAATTAGGCTCATTTGGAGGCTATTTTCAGAGGACTACTGAGGGCAGCCCCCGAAGCCGCTACACTCCCGCGCACGCACACGTGCGCACACACACGCACGCACACACACATACACGGCACGCGGCCACGCGGGTCCAGCCTCTTGGGCTGCGATAGGGCTCGCGGCCCGCGCCTCTCACTGCAGCTGGACCACAGAAACTGTTCAAAAGTAATTTCTGAATTTTAAATTTCGGGTTCTTTTTTTGTCCTTCCGACCTTCCTTTTGTAATTGTTGGGTTGCTCGGAGAGTTGCAGCCTCGACCTCTGCAACCGGGTGCAGTGGTGGGCTGCCAGTTCGCGCCGCTCGCGTCCGAGGGCCGTCTAGATGGCACTGCAAACGGTTCGGACCTGCGGGGCCACAAAAAAGGTGCAGCTGCGGAAATCAACTCAGAGATGCATTTTAGAGTCGGTACAACGGGGAATGGTTTTGATACAAAAAAAACTTTGTGGAGTTTCGCTGTTGTCTCAGGATGGAGTAACTGCCACCGCCCCCCCCCCCCAACCCCATCCCCGGCACAAACCAGAACGTTCTGCGAAACGGAGATCCAATGGACTAGTATTATATCCAGAATATTATCTAATGGAGATTAAAGTCAATCTGTGTGTCTCACTGCCTATAATGAAGTAAGTTTACGGATTTTTTTTTCCCCTAGGCCAAGGATTGAGGGCATCGTAGGTGAGAGACACACAGACTGAGGGAATCAGAAGCACCACTGTCCACCAAGAATTAAATCGGATTCCTTGCGCCTTCTGTAAATATTTCACCAACTATTTCCTCTCTCACCTCTCAGCCTTCTCCTCCCAGGACTCAGCGGACAGGCAGGGCTTGGGTTCAAGGAGCCCAGCCACACACGGCAGGCGCTTGCAGCTAGCTTTCAGGCGGCCTAAAACTTAAGAGACGTGGCCCATCGCAGACTCACCCGGTCAGGTGCACTGTTCCGAGGTGCGAGGCCCGAGCGCACGGGTAATGCCACGCACCCGTGGTCGGTTTGCAACCCCCCACCCCCAATTCCAGTTAAATCCCCACAGCCTTTCCTACCACCAATGGTTTTCCTCGCCAAGGAAACTCGGTGTGTACTAGCCGCATCCTCGCCTCCTCCACCCGCTCTGCTACTGGTTTGCGCGGAAGTTAAATCTTGGAGGATTTACCTAAGCCTTAAGAGGAGAGAATCCACGTTAGTTAGCAGCAACTGAGAGCCTAGCCCTCCCGCAGACCCGAGGCCTCCCCTCGCTCCCAAGAGGCTGGGCCCCACGGCCGGGGAAGTCACATCCGAGCTCCCGGCGTCATTCTGCCGTCCCAGCCCGAGCGCAGCGTCTAACATAGAGGCCCGGAAGCCTCCACTCGGCTCCACTCGACTTACCCAGGCCGCAGAGTCCCGGCTCCTTCCCCAGCGCCTCATTTCCGACTTTTTCACATGTTAAGTCGTTTAACAACTCCCAACAGCTAGTTACAGCCTCTTTATTTATAGGTTCACAGTTATTTTACGTCGTTTTTATTTCTCTCGGCAACTATTCTAATAGATTAATCAATAACTATTTTCTGACCTTCGGGAACCCCAGCTGATGCTGTTGTGGCCGCGCGGGGTGCGGGGGGAGGGTGCAATATATATATAACACGCCCACATCCAGCGGGGAAAGCAAAGGCAGGTCGGGTGGTTTGGCTTTGGGGGGAAAGGATACTTGTCCCCTCAGTAGGTGTCTCCGCCTAGTGAGCAGTGAAGCAGGAGGGGGTTTGAAGTCTAATTAGCAAAACGGAGCCGGGTACGCAGCCCTTAACCCAAGAGGTAAAAAGAATCAAATCCAAAAAAACTGAACAGAGACTACTAAGTTTTTCTTTAAAAAAGGGCGGGGGGGACGGGAATCTCGTTCGGCGTTGCCCAGTCCCAGCCTAAGGAGTGTTGGCAAAAGGGAGAAGGGGGAAGGGAGAGGGAGCAGGGAGGGCAGAGCAGCGAGAACTGCCGGGTCCCGAGGACGCTCCCAGGCCCACGCCCTCACTCGCTCACACCCACCCTCCAGCACTCACACCCAGAGGCTCCCTCGACCCCGCGCGGGGTTCCAGCCTAGACTGGGGTCCCGGGGCGGGCCAGGACGCCCTCGGAGCCCGCGGGATGCTGGCGCACCGTACGGCGCTGAGTGGCGCGTCCCTCGTCCCTTTGTTGACAATTCCCAGAACCAACTTGAGTTTGGCCGGCTCCGCGGCGGCCCTGACGTCACGCGCGGTCACGTGGCCCCGCCTCCCGCTGGATCTTTAAGTAGAAAGTAATCTATCAGGCCAGTCCTTAAAACGGGACTTTCGACTACGGGGGCCTGGCGTCCCTGACACCCCCCCTTCCCCCCGTTGCCCCTTCCTGCGCCCTCCGGAGCTGCTCAGCGCCCGGCGTCCCGCGCCCGTCTGCACAGCTCTTGCTCTCCACGCCCGGGCCAGAGGCCGAGGAACGCGGCCGAAGTGAGGGGGCGCGGCGTGGAGAAGCCGCCGTGGCCCGGAGCGGCATCGAGCGCCTAGTGCCGAGCGCCAGGGACAGCAAGAGTTTGAGGAGCGCGGCCGCGGGGGGCAGACGGCAGTGCCCGCGCCGCGCGATGCCGGGCTGCCGAGTGTGAGCCAAGCCGGGAGGGCCCCGAACCATCTACGCCCCCCTCCCCTTTCCCAGTCTCCCATCTTTCGGGAGCACTCAAACCCCCTTCCCCGGAGCTCGGCGGTAGCCCCTAACGGCTGCCATCGTCCGCCGATCCTTCCACGCCGCCGCCACCAACCCCGAGGAGGGATGACCCTCTCCGGCGGCGGCAGCGCCAGCGACATGTCCGGCCAGACGGTGCTGACGGCCGAGGACGTGGACATCGATGTGGTGGGCGAGGGCGACGACGGGCTGGAGGAGAAGGACAGCGACGCGGGCTGCGAGAGCCCCGTGGGGCCGCCGGAGCTGCGCCTGGACGAGGCGGACGAGGTGACGCCCGCGGCACCCCACCATGGGCAGCCTCAGCCGCCGCACCAACAGCCTCTGGCATTGCCCAAAGAGGCAACTGGAGCCGGGGCTGGGCCGGGGGGCGAGGCGGGCGCTTCCGAACCTGACGGCTGCAAGGGCGGCGTTGGCGGCGAGGAGGGCGGCGGGAGCGGCGGCGGGCCGGGCTCCGGCAGCGGTGCAACGGGAGGCCTAGCCCCCAGTAAGCCCAAGAACAGTCTGGTGAAGCCTCCCTACTCGTACATCGCGCTCATCACTATGGCTATCCTGCAGAGTCCGCAGAAGAAGCTGACCCTGAGCGGCATCTGCGAGTTCATTAGCAACCGCTTTCCCTACTACCGGGAGAAGTTCCCCGCCTGGCAGAACAGTATCCGCCACAACCTCTCGCTCAACGACTGCTTCGTCAAGATTCCCCGCGAGCCGGGCAACCCAGGCAAGGGCAACTACTGGACCCTGGACCCGCAGTCCGAGGACATGTTCGACAACGGCAGCTTCCTGCGGCGCCGGAAACGCTTCAAGCGCCACCAGCAGGAGCACCTGCGCGAGCAGACGGCGCTCATGATGCAGAGCTTCGGCGCTTACAGCCTAGCGGCGGCGGCAGGCGCCGCGGGGCCCTACGGCCGCCCCTACGGCCTGCACCCCGCGGCCGCGGCGGGCGCCTACTCTCACCCGGCTGCCGCGGCCGCGGCGGCGGCGGCGGCGGCGCTCCAGTACCCCTATGCGTTGCCGCCGGTGGCACCGGTGTTGCCGCCCGCGGTGCCGCTGCTGCCCTCGGGCGAGCTGGGCCGCAAAGCGGCCGCCTTCGGCTCACAGCTCGGCCCGGGCCTGCAGCTGCAGCTCAACAGCCTGGGCGCCGCCGCGGCCGCCGCGGGCACGGCGGGCGCTGCGGGCACCACGGCGTCGCTGATCAAGTCCGAGCCGAGCGCGCGGCCGTCGTTCAGCATCGAAAACATCATCGGCGGGGGCCCCGCGGCGCCCGGGGGCTCGGCAGCGGGCGCTGGGGGCGCGGGGGTAACTGGGGGCACCGGGGGCGGTGGGGGCGGCAGCGCGGCGCAGTCCTTTCTACGGCCGCCGGGCACCGTGCAGTCCGCGGCGCTCATGGCCACGCATCAGCCGCTGTCGCTGAGCCGGACGACGGCCACCATCGCGCCCATCCTGAGCGTGCCGCTCTCTGGACAGTTCCTGCAGCCCGCAGCCTCGGCCGCCGCTGCTGCCGCGGCTGCAGCGCAAGCAAAGTGGCCCGCTCAATAGGGACGCGCCGGTGGCCGGGACCGAGGGCCGGGTGGCGGCTGCCCTTCTAGTTTGCGCGCCCCGCCCCGGGCCCGGCCCCCCTGCCCAATCCCGGACTCTGCTTCTCCTCCATTTCCTCCCCCCCGACCCCTCAACACCGACCTTCGGCTGCCTCCACCCCCTCGCGCACACCTAGGCTGGCGGAGCAAACTCTCACCGCACGCCCGCCGGGAATAGCTTGCGGTACAGGTAAAACCGAAAACCGAATTTTCCAAAAATGTACCCCGACGGCTCCTGCTCTCAGTACCGTAGGGATGGGAGGGAAATCTTTGTACATATTTGTATAAAAATTATTGACTTTCCTTTTGGGGTTCTTATTTTTTTAAGAAAAAACAAATTCAGTAGATTTAGAGCTCTGAACTTTCATTTTTTTTGAAGGTTCACTCTCCGCAGTTTTATGTGAGAAAAAAGTGTATAGAGACGTTGGGAGATTTTAAATATAAAAATTTTCAAAAGGCGAAAAGTGTCATTCTATTATAGAAGTCTGTTTATATATGAATGAATATATATGGTATTCTAAATGTTATTCCATCGTGTTGTACACAACTTTGTAAATAAATTTTTAAAATGTTCACCCTAGTGTTTTATTTAGATGTCTGAGGTAAACGACAATATTTTAAAATTGTATTTGTATTTTATCTTTACCAGAAATTCAAGGAGTTTCAAATAATGACCCTTTTAAACTTAGCTATGCATGATTGCAATGTAAGAAAAATTTAATTGAAGAAAGGAAAGAATATGCCTAATTTAAATCGCATTAATATTTTTCTTTTAGTTTTCACACAAAATTGGGATGTGGGTGATGATCTCATTCATACCAATCCATTAAGTCTGACCAGATATTTCTATAGATAAAATAAGCTTCCATTTAAAAAAAACAACTTAAGTCTAAACAACCACACAATCTTTTAATATATTTTTTTAATACCAGAATTTTGTCTTCCATAATGAGAGTTCGTGGTCATTTCAATTATCCTTTCAAAATAATGTAAATTACAAACATCCTCCATTTTAGCACTTAAATCTTACATTTTTTAAATTATTTCTTTTCATTCCTTAAGTGGAAATGGTAAATAAACACAGTTAATTTTTAAATGTATGTTATGGCAGTTTTATTTTTGCAGTGAAAATGTATTATCTATATTAATCTGATCAATAACACATAATTCTTATTCTTTCAGAATATTTTCAAGTAAGATATTTCTTTTCTTATGGTGATAATAAATCCACAACATAATTTTAATTCCTGAAGGATTCCTACAAATGCCTCCTCTCTCCTCAACCCACAGTGTTTTGGAAGGCCAAGGAATAGGAACCTTAACACCCTTTTAAAAACAGGTGCACATCACCCCTCCCCTTTACCTTTATTCCCCTCTTTTCAAATCTTTAAAAAGCAAACCACAGTCTAGATTAGTGGGAAATGAGAGATCATAGGGCAGGAATGGGGAGATGTCCCCGTAGATTATTTTTAATGTGCATTTCAGCTGTTGCAACCTTTAAAGTATTAAAGTAGAAATAAAACGTCTAGACGCGGAAGGCCGTTTCCCATTCACCACCAACATATCCTCAAACGGCATCAATTCTAATTATTTTGTAATTAATTTAGCTGTTACAATTACTTATGCGAAATCGCTTTTTTATACCGGAACCGGTAGCAATGCTGCCAGCTCGGCCCTATGCGCGTCCTGCTTGCAAAACACGGCCAGTCCCTGTCTGTGGCGTCCACCTCGGCTCTTGGTCGTGGAGATGCCATCCGGCTTCGGATCCGAGCTTTATTCCTTTGCTGTCGGCATGGGCTAGGGAGTCGCTTTGAAAGACACGTCCTCGAAAATACCGAATCTGTTTTCCTGGTAAACAGTAAACATTACTGTGTCCTGAGTAAACATTACTCCTGGATCAGGGTCCTAAAATAAAACAAGCTGCCGGGGGTGAGATAGTTTAACTTGATAAACAGGAACCTGATAATCAACCTCTGCGGAGAGGCGCAACAGTAACCTTCACCGAGAAGAGATTATGGACCACACAGTCTCCGGGCGAGTCCCTTCTAATCTCCTTTTAAAAGGAAAACTAAACGGATCTAAATTTGTTTGTGTGTTGCAGCTATAAAAGTAACAAGTTGTTTCACAGTTGTGTCTGGCTAATCGGTTTTTACACAAACAGCAAATGGTACATGATTTGTGCAAACACATAGAGGTTATTTCTAATTTTAGCTGACACCCCTGGGAAAAGGGAAAGGCAGGGCTTCTTGAATTCACTTTTAGCCTCAAGAAGCTGCTGATCCAAGGCTTCTAAATGACATTGGATAACAGAGGCCTCATTCCATCCCTGATCCTTTGTTACTTATAAAATTACTCGCTCATATTTCCACGCATAGCAGCAATACCGGCCGAGCCTGAGCCCGCAGCCTGACACTCGGCCACAAGCCGCCGCTTGAGATCCGCGGGGCTTTTTCCAAGCGCTGCATTAGGCTGCAGGGAGTAGAGGAGTGATCCGCCAGCAACTTTCCTTCTAGTCACTTCTCAACCTTGAACTAGAGCCTGGAGATGGTCCCCTTCCTTTATTCCTTGGAGGATAGGAGACTCCCAGAGCCAGACCCCAAACGGGACGGCGGCTGTTTTAAAGTGCTGGCAGATGTCTTGGAGATAGATCTGGCTGTACCCCTTTGAAAAGCTCTTTTTGGTTTAAGCTTGTTAAGCCACGAAGGTTTAGAGCAGACGGGGAAAATACAACTATGTATAATGAACGCAAGCATTTGGTATGGGGGGGGTGTGCTTGAAACTCACATTTGATGTGAACGCGGGCACCAGCGGCGAAAGACACGGAAATCCCCCTTTACATTGAGATTTAAAGGCAACACGACTGATATCTGCTTTTTATTCCACTTAGGCAGATTTATTTGTAATTAAAAAAAAAAAGGAAGAGGGATGGTTTTTATGGGGGAGAATTTTAGCTTTCGGATACACACGAATTTAAACTGGTTTCCACCTCCTCCAGCACTCATTTCTAGAAAGCGAATCCAGTTCCGAGGCCTGTAGTCCTTAGAACTTCCCCAGGACTGAGTGCCTGAGTGGAGTCCCCGCACGCAGTTCCTCTGGGAATGGGTGAGTCTGCAGGTCCAGGGAAACGCGAACCTAGACTAGACCAAGATACTTGCACGGACTATGATGGGCGCTCCCTGCGATGGCGGATGTGGCCTGTAGGGGGCGACGAGCAGATGGAAAACTTACCGGGTTTGTCTCCTAGCGTCCAGCTCCAGCCCTCTGAGGCCACTCCTTGTCTCAAAGCCTCTGAACACCCTGACACCCTTGCTCATCATCAGGGCCTGGGGCATCCAGGTAGAATCTTGGAAAAGCCGCTTCCTCGGCCTGTCTTCTGAAAGGGCCAGAGTCCCATGGGAAATTTGTCTTAAAGATTGGGAAGCAATAAAATTTAGTGATGAGGAAACATGGACTTGGTTGCTATTAAGAATTATATTTGAAGTTATTTATTTTACATGGTTTATAGGGAGAGTCTTGGCAGTGAGGGAAACATGAAAGATTGATGGGTGGGGGGTGTGTTTTAATGTGGGTTCCTTGAAGAACTGTCCAGAAGAGAATGTGATCTGAAAGGCAGTTCCAAAGCCATGTGTCCATTGGACTCTACTTTTGTCTGTGATGGTGGCACACTGCAGCCTGAGTCAGTCAATGTTCTCCCCTTTGGGGGTGTGGGGGGATGTTGGAAGAACATTCTCAGGGTGCCCAGGCCCAGTCATGAGGGGGTGGGGGGCCTATTTCATGGGAGCGGATAATGGGAAGAAATGGATGAGAGAAGCCTTGTAGAAAGGGTTTCAATCAGGGATAGGCATTTCGTGACTGTGACCTTGGACAAGCTGCTTGGTGTCTTTGAGTCTCTATTTCTTTACTGCTACAATGAGAATGAGGAGTCCACCTGATGCTTGGGCTTGCAGGATTAGCTGAGTTGGTGTCAGTGAAAAATGTTTTATAAACGCTAAGGAGCTAAGGGAATGTAAGGAGTTTACTTGTTTTTAATGGCTTCTGGACAGAGGAACAACTCTCTTCCAAACATCAACAGTATTTGGTTTGGTTTTGAAAAACTCGATTTTAGGTGTAAAAAGTGGGTTTTTCTAAAAGGAGTCACAGAACCTATTCCAGTCCCTTGCTGCCTGGAAGGATAGAGCAAAAGAGGCTAATCAGAATGGACTTTTAGAAAATGGAGTCTCCTCCTGGTTTTGAGTCCTTCCACCATAACTTGGGCCTGACCCTCAGGCCAGCTCCAGAGGCCTGGCATGTTTCTTTCTGGCTGAGTGGTCCACTTTGCTGTTTGCCCCTTTGCTTCCACCAGCTGATGCAAGTAGGGAAACAGGAGCTCTTCACTGACAGATGCCCATTAGCACAAGACATGGACTCCGGGGTGAATTAAAGGTAGCCAGAGCCTAAACTCACAGAAAAGACTACCCTCCCTTTGCGTCCTTCCAACAGTTGGCAGTTGCACCTAGAGCCAACTTCTCTCTTAACCATCACCACCCCCACCCCTTGCCCTCTTAGGAATGTACAGGCGGCCATTTTCTGTTCCTCAGGAGCAAGACCAGCCAAGGAGGGTGGGTGTGCAGAACAAGATTTGAAAAGAAATGTTGCAAAATCACCCATGAGGTCATAAGAAAGCATTGTCATCTTATTTTTTTTATTTCCCAAGGGGGTGTCTTATAACAGAATTTCTCAGAATAAGAATTACATTAATCCCCTTCCCTATTTTAACATAAAACCCATACCCTAGTTCTTCTTTTCCAGATGACGTTGTGTTTAGGCATACAGCTTCTTCCCATCAGTGCCAAGCTGGGGAGGAGGAGGGAACACTTCCATTCCCTTGTCTGAGTCCCCCCTCTCCCGGGGGGCTGAATTTCAGAGGTATTTTCAGAAAAACAGTCCTCCAGAACACCCTCACCTCTTTTCACACAGCCCCAGAAGGTTCTGTGACTGCCCCAAGGTAACTCAGCAGCCCAAGTGTAAGCTATGGAAATGCTCAGAGGACTAAAAAGTGTTCTCCAGCTAGGAAGGATGTTCATTTGAGGAAAGGAAAAAGCAAATCACGGGGCAACCAAGGCTGGGAAGAGTAAAGAAAAGAAAAAAGACAAACTCAAAGAAGCGCAGGGCGCAGCGGGACTCAGCTCCGGGAAGACCGATGACCTAGACCCTGGGGCGTTTCCGATGAGCTGAAGTCCCCTGAGCCCCAACCCGCGCGAGCGCGGCTAGCCCAGCACTGGGCGGTTCTGCGGAGACCGAGGGCTAGTTTTCCTTTTTGCCGCGTGATTTGGGAGGGGAAGAAGGAAGGCGGATACTCCGGGCCCACACCTCCCCTTACCCTGCAGGTCAGCGGCCCATCCACAGCGCTCCGATGTCCGCAGTCGGTCCCCGTGG